CTTGAAACTTAAACTTACGAGTTAGTAATGCATTGATAATAATTTATATTTCTGAAATACAATAAAGTATATGATAGCTTATATCTTTAGTCTGGATAACTTGAATAGCATTTGAAGGGGTAATCCAATCATTAATCTGTTTTCACCAAAATGTAGCTAAATAATGTCGGAATCTAGTGATATGCTATTTGTTGCAATAATTTACCAAGACAACTGAGTAATTTTATTTCAAAACTTAACGACATTTTACCATTGAAAATACAAAGGGTATTCAGTGAATTTTTCATAATTTGCTCTAATCTCGGATAATATTAAAACCTCAGTATCTTGGTTATTTTCACTGCTATCTTAGATGTTCAACAACATTTTATTTCAAATTAATAAGCAAATTATATAACATTTTGACTTAAAATTTAAAATAGATTGTTTCTAACTTTTTAACTGTAGGTTCTAGAATATATCTAAAAAATGCATTAGATAAAGAATTTAAAAAATTGTCAAGATCAGTTATTAACATTTATTAGTATTTTACTATTTACTAATTATATTAAAGTAATATAATAATATAAATATGATTCAAGGACATAATTAATGTAATTTGATAAAATTATATTATTGAAATGATTAATAATAATAATTGTTAACAATAAAAAACACCTTATTATTTATTGAATGAGTAATGACTATTTTTTACCATTTATACATACAATGTATTGTCATATTGTCAATATTCTGTCCATGCTTTACTTAATTTAATTTTCAAGGTTAGTCTATACAATACATAATAATAGTTATTATAATTTGATAAATTAAGATTTATTAGTAGTCTAGTATATATATATTAAATGTATTTTTTAAATCTCATTGATAATTACTAAATAATTGTTTTGTTTACTTATTTATACCAATCATAGTAAATATAGACATAAAAATACAATTTATTAACATTTCTCAGACAGTTTAATGTTGTCTTGAAAAAATATTAATTTTTATTTAGAGGCCTAGGTCATATCATATAACTTACTAATAAATATTTTACTAATTACTAATTTTTGATATGTAATTTAAATTTCTTTTTACATATCTAAACATGTTGAATTTAAATGGAAATAAACTAATCATTTTTTCAAAACCTGTAAGTATTTCAAAAGTAATAAAAGTTAAAACCAATTACTTAATAAAAATAAAAATTTGAATATTTTTATATTACATAAAGTCGATACCATATGCAATAATTTCTAAATCATCTGATATAAGTGGGCCTAGATTAATTGGCGGTGTCCAATACCATGTAATCAACACAATTGCCAATGTTATGAATTTTACAATAAAAGTTGTTAATTGTAACATTAATTTGGATTATAAACTAAATTATACGTGTACAAGTGGGTTTGTCGAACTCTTGAACAAGGTATTTCTTTAAATAAAATAAATATTATACATATTTTTACTTTACCTTCAGAGGGCAGATATAGCGCTGACACTAGCTTATTCAAATGACCGTGCTAAATATATTGACTACACATACCCGCATATAATTGATAACATAGTGTTTACGTCTCCATTGCCTGAAATCAACACTTTTATAGATTTATTAAAACCATTTGATACATACGTTTGGATATTATCATTAATTACAATAATAATGTACATGCTCATATTTAAATATTATTTTAGTCGCAATGATTATTGGAATATATTTAAGCTAAAGGTGCTCACAACGGGAAGTTTATCAAGCACACGTCGAGTTATAATTAGTTACTGGTTCATATTCATGTATATGTTATCAATGATTTATAGCCAGGTGGTTTACTCATTGATCTCAGTTCCAAAAACAAATTCTATTGAATCGATTAGTGAATTAAGAAGTGCATTAGAGCAAGGTGATATCAACCTCTACATGTATAGCAAATTTCTGTATAAAGAATTAATTCAGGTATTATTTGTATTTAATAATTTACAAATTTATTACTTTTATAATATATATATGTGTCCAGGATAAGAAATCATATTTATATCGAACAATGGGTAAGAGAATAAATTTGCTGAATAAGACCACAAACATGCTTGATATTTTTAAATCTGATAAACACAATATTATTATACATTATCGTCATATCCTGGAGTACTATTTGTATAAACATTATATTAAATCCCATTACTTATTGCCATTGACTTCCGATTCGACATTTGGCATGACTTTCATTGGAATGGGTTTCCAAAAGGGAAGTCCGTTAAGACAAACAATGGATATTTTGTATGTATTTGAAGTTACTGTATAAATAAGATAAATATTTAAGCTATTGTTTGATATTTTATAGATTAGCATATTTAAGAGAATCAGGATTAATATGTTTTTGGCAAAATGCTTTATATACTAAATGGAGTAATCAGGGTTATGTCATTAAACATATTTCAAAACATATCTCCAGTTCGTTAAACACTAATTCAAATGTCAATGTGGAAATGCTTAGTAATATATTAAACATGTTCATTTTTGGACACATAATAGCCTCGATTATATTTCTAATGGAGAAGATTTATAATTATAATGTAATTAGTCTTTAATTGAATTTTTAAAACACATTCATAAATACATTTTAACAATTATTGTGTAATTTATTATAATTATTCTTTATTTGAAACAATAAATTTTATATTTGCAATTTAAAAATACAATTCGTAAAGGTCTGCAAACAATTTTAAAATAATTATATCATTCAAATTTTATATTGTTATATAACAAGTTGAACATCTGAAAAATAGACATTAATTGTGGTTGCGTAAGATAAGTAAATTTGACGTAGATGACGTTGAATAATCAAGTAAATTGAATAATAATTAAATTTAAGCATTTTCAATATAAACTAATGGAAATATCTGCTCAGATATTTAAAAATATGACACAAATTTAATTAAAAGTCAATTACTTGTTGGCAATAAAAGTCCATATGAATTGCGTTCAATGTTATGATCGCATTGACTGCGAAAACTCATTGAAGTCTCGCGTATGCAGTGATCAGCTGTGCCTCCAATACGAGTCAATACACGTGGCATTCAATCAATAATACATTTATTTGTTATTTATTTGACACCAAATCGACGGCTAATTCATCCATCGGTGCACCCATTCATTGACGCCATTATCACCGAAAGTCATGTCCAACAGACGGCAGTGGATATCAAAGGCTGAGGACGTGACCGATGAGGTCAGTACTCACTGCGCGCCTATATCTCACACGTGATTCTCTGACCTTTTGTTTGCGTGCGGCCTACTCTTCGGCTGTTGCCCTTCAGGTAACCATCCGGACAGACAGTCCCCCAGTTTTGAGAGACAACTTATTGTCTCTGTCCCGAACATTCCCGACCACTTCCCGTTTGTTTCCACGGGAACGGCGATGGGATTCCCTTTAAGAACAAATAACATGGAAACGGATGGGAAGGGGAGTGATATTTGGGAATAGTTGTACCCCTAGTCCCCGGTGTTGATCAGTTATATTAACGTATGGTGTGTTTGGGTGGCAGACAGTGGCGTACGGAGACGTATGGGAGCCGTACCGCTGGCCGTTGACTACGAGTCTATGCGGCGCTCTGTTGCTGCTGTTGGCGGAGTGCCAGACGGAGGCGCCAACTCTGTTGGCCGGTGTGCCCAGTGATGGACACAACCGACCCAAAGTTTATATGCTGTGCACCGGAAGGATACTAACGCTTCTCATATTCGTCACAAGCCTTAGCCAAGACCTGCGCGACGAGGAAAACGTGTTGCTTATCATACGAAGGATTATAGTCGTCGTACTCGTGGTGGCCGTCACTATCGGCTATAAGACCAAACTGTCGGCCCTTTTGCTGGTCGTGTGGCTCACGGGTTAATCTCCATACGAACCGTTCATTTGAACCATTTGTGTGTTTGACTAATGATTACTGTTTTTTGGATCTCCTTTTCCATCAAAATAGTCATCAATTCATATTACAACTGTTTTTGGGCGATAGACTCAAACAAATCATTGTTTTATATCCGGATAAAAAGCTTTTTCTATACCCTGTCCGTCATCGGCGGTACTACATTAATGTATATGTAAAATGATATAATTAATATTTGAATTATTTGTTATAAATGTGAATAACTTATATTTAAAAGTACATTTAACATAATTAAGTGAATTTTGAAAAAATAACGTACCGTAAAAATAATATATATCTTATAAATATTTTAAGTAAATGTATTCAGTCAAATTATATTTATGTATGATTTAAAGGGAAAACATCTTAAATTGGCTACGAATGAGGTAATTGCATTCAAATCAATAAATATATTTTAAAATTTTCCAATTTTAAAGGTCCCACCTGCTATCATGCTAAAACGAAATGAGTCAACAAATGGTTACTATCCAATTGGTGGGAAGGATATCATGTTATTCAATACGATTGCAAACATTTAAATCTAACGTATGAAGTGGTCAACTGTAACGGAGTTTGGGGTACAAGGCCTATTAATAAAACGTGGTCAGGGGTGGTTGGTAAACTTCAGTCAAAAGTACGAAATTAAATTTATAAGTGTATTGTATACTAGCATTAAAACAGTGTAAAACACAGAGTCACAGGGAAAATGTTAATTTTAATTTTAATTACGGGACTATATTATTTTTAATTATATTGAAGATTTTATCAAGTAATTATTTTCTACTATTTTGTATCAATCTTCATTAACAGAGTGCAGACATAGCCTTTCCTTTAAAGTTGACCGAAGAAAGGAGCGAGGTCATTGATTTCAGTTATCCATATAAAGTAGGATCTCTAATATTTTTATCGCC